TTTATATTTCAAAATCAATCTTGAAGTACAATACTCTTTAATAGGATTATATCTATACCTACCTTCAAGGAAAGCCAATCCAAACAGTTATTACTCAAATTAATGGTCCAACCACAAAAGTTAGTGATGAAGAAATTGAAGAATTCTACCATCCTCAATATGAAATTAAACAAACATGAAATCAAGAGGCATTGATCCTTATTGGAGTTTAGAATTAAAACATTGGTAACAACGAGGAAGGGACAGTAGTTGGAAAGTGTGGAATTGGTGATAAAAAATGAAGTTGGAGATTGCATGAGAGTATTTTCCAAGACCAATGACCTATTCATAGCAAGTACCTTTTTTCAACAACACAAATGGTGACTATCCATGGACATTTCAGGATGGAATGCACAGAAATCCAATCGATCACATCCGTGAAAGAGAAGCTCCACAGCAGCAGCTAAAGCCTGGCCAGAGGCTGGCAGTGGAACAGACCATATGCAAGTTCAGGGTAAAGAGGAAAAAAATGAAAACAAGTCCAATAAAGCCGCAATACAATCATGAGTCTATTCCAGGTGAATTTCCAGAACATTTCAATCATAAATGTAATGCACTGAACACTAATGCCAGACGACCCGATGAGCTGTCGGAGGACATCAAGACCGTCATTCATGAAGAAAACAAGAGTTATTTAAATGACAGCAAAAAATGAAAAGATCAAATAGATATCAGAAGAGACTCTGAAACTTCCGCTTACGCATAGAATAACAAAAGCGAATGGAAGAAATTATGAAGTCCAAGAGTTGAAGAGATACTTTCTAAGAGAAGCTCCAGAAGACAGAATTAGAAAGAATGAAATGTGCAAAGGCTTAGAGTTAGAAAACTAAAAGGAAAGAACTTGCTCAGAATATCTTAAACTGAAAGAATTCAAGAAAAAAAAGATCAAGATTTGAGTTGTAATATTGAAAGATTCCATGGACAAAAGAGTGAATGATGCATCAAAAGAAGCTGGAAAGAATACACAGAGTCATGGTATGATGGTGAGCATTCCACCATTTCAGGAGATGGCATGTGGGAAAGAGCCAGTACTCATGAAGGAAGACTCTCAAGCTGCACAGGCAGAACCAAGTCTCTAGGAATTGATGGGACACCAATCTAAATGTTTCAACAAGTCGATGAAGCACCAGAAGCATGTACTCAAGATGGCAACTACTTGGCCAACTCACTGGAAGAGAGCTATACATGTACCCATTCCAAAAACACGTGACCCAAGAGGATGTTCAAACTACAGAACAATATCATTGATAACACATGTAAGTAAACCTTTGCCAAAGATCATCCAGCAATGTTTGCAGCAGTACAATTACAGGGAGCTTCCAGATATTCAGGTTGGATTCAGACAAAGTACAAGGAATATTTTCATTAATGTCAGATGGATCTTGGATCAAAACAGCGAATACCAGAAAGATGTTTACTTGTGTTTTATTGATTATGCTAAAGGATTCAACTGTGGTTTTAATAACAAACTATGGATAACCTGGAGAAGAATGGGCATTCCAGAATACTTCATTGTCCTCATTTGGGACTTGTATGGATCAAGAGGCAGTTGTGGGAACAGAATAAGGGCATACTAGATGGCATAAAATCAGGAAAGGTGTGTGACAGGCTTGTATCCTCTCACCATAATTATTCAATTTGTATGCTGAGCAAATTATAACAGAAGTGGTTGATATGGAGAATAATGTGGCAACAGGATTGGAAGAAGGCTGATTAACAACCTGTGCTATGTCTGGTATGTCAATGACACCACCTTGCTTGCTGAAAGTGAGGAGGACTTGAAACACTTGCTAGTAAAGGTAAAGATTGTGTCCTTCAGTATGGATTATAACTCAATGTAAAAATCACCCAAATCCTCACACCTGGACCAGAAGGTCACTTCATGATAAATGTAGAAAACTAGAGTTGTCAAGGATTTTGACTAGCTGTGACTCCACAATTAATGTTCATGGAAACAACAATCAGGGATCATAAGAAAGGTTGCATTAGGTCAACCTGCTCCACAAGAACTCTTTTGAGTGTTGAAAAGCAAGGATGTTACTTTGAGGACTAAAGTGTGCTTGACCCAAGCCACAATATTTTCAATGGTTTGATATACATATGAAAATTGGATATTGATGAGAGTTGTACAAGCCCCCAATAAAATGATTAAATTATTT